AATACTTTATCTAAACGTAGAATTTCCCGCTCTTTTCGAATCCGGGATAAAAAATGGGGGTCCTTATTCAAAATATCTCTTGGTTATTGGGTTATTGGGGTTATTGGGGTTATCGAGTTATTGGGTATTGGAGTTATTGGATTATTACAATTAACCTTACCCTTGCCCGATCATCCCTGTGCATCGATGAAGAAAATCATAAATTTGACCCCTATATGACCTTAGGCGAGGGAGGGCGGTTAACCGCACCCCACACATAATATGTTATCTGAAAGTAGAATTTTCCGCTCTTTCCGACTCCGGGATCAAAAATATAGGTTCCTATTCAAAAAATGACTTTGACCTTCAAATGACCTTGAAAATAAATCTCAAGGTCAAATCGGATTTCACAGAAGGGTTGGCCCCATTGTCCCAAACAACTGTTGTCTGAACAATTTTTTTGTACAACGCCAACCGTCGAAAATTCGGGGTGGTTCCTTTGAAATGGGACACCCTGTATAATCAGTACTTCCCGAGGCTAACATCAATTTAATATGCTGATGACCAAACAATAGCTATATATTGTACAATTGATAATTTTCTTATTTTCCCTCTTTTAAACAAAACTAATTTGAAACGCCGATTTTGGACACGATTCAATGATAGAACCGCCACAAGTGTACAACAGAACTAGATGCGTTATGAATAGGAGAAAAAGAAGTTTGGGATGGGTGACCGAATGCTCATCACTGAATTTTCATTTACTTGTTATGTCTCACGTAACGGTCGCTAATTGACAAGACTTACTCAAACGCGTCTGCCTCCTTTCGGTCAACGCGTAAGCGTTTTACCACGGGTGCGAGACTAAAACGAGAGCAAGCTGTTAACGTTTCTAAAGCATCGATTGGAAAAGTGACAATTTAAATAATTTTACCTGTAGTTAGACTGGTCCAGAAACTCGTATGCCAGAAACCAGAGATGTGACGTAGATATAAGAATTAGGTATAAGTCTTTACTGGTTTATAATAAATTATTATAGAAATAGAATTTAAGTATTTATTGCTCAAATTACAGAAGGTCCATAGTCTTACAGAGTCGAATGGAGAGTGTATGTTACAATTGCTTTGCGTCCTCTTTTATAATACAAAATACATAAAAACTAATCTATAAAGGCTTAAACCCAGAAGGGGTAAGTGCGTCACTGAGAATAAAGTCAGCTATTAAATGACTATTACTTTAATTACGGGAACTCCCCTTCCATAAAAAAAATTCAAATTTTACCGCCATAAAATAGTCTGACTCGTTCTTGACGTAACACGCCCGCCCCTGAAGACTAGCGACGCAGGGCGCTCGTAAATTGCACCCACCAATTTAAAATTTCGTACATCAAAATATCATGATTATACTTATACCTTGCACATAACGAAGTTACAACAAGCACTACGTACTAAACACAAAGTGATTTTACACATATATATATATATATGTTTAAACGAGAAACACTTCGAAGCATTACTTAACATAGTCTCTAATTTTGGAAAGGCAAAAAACTACCTCTCCACACTACGTTTAGTCTTCGCAAAAAAATCTCTTCTCCTATGTTACCACGTTTACACATACGGCACTTTTCTCCAGATTAAATGGCATACTGATGAGCAGTTAACCAGCAGCCCCAATAGATCAGAAAAATATCCTTCGGTCCATGACTTAAGTATTTTAAAATACATAGTTTACAGAAACGCCACACAGATAAAGGTCGAGAGCATTGTACACAGTTATCGTAGGTCAATAAATCTGCAAAACCATAACATAACAAAAAATCACGTACTGCTAATAACGGTACTAGGCACACTGCACAATATTCAAGGTGAGTCGGTTATCTGTATTAAGACTACCATAATCGATCTTAAACAGATGCCAAATAAAGATATCAGTACTTTCACTGATTGTTTGAGATGGACAATGAAGCAAATGTTGGCTCCTGAATAAATTATCTTTTGGTATAGTAGAGTATTCAGGATACTTTAACATCTCATTATTGCTTCTTTATATAAAACGTCTGCCTCTGGCTTGTTGTTGTGCCATTGTGAGTCCTGGTATTACTGGACCTAGCAGTGAGTATCCTATCTTTATTACGCTCTCTTTGCATAGTTCTTGAAATTCCAATGAATTGTTGTATAGTATTTCCCCGATTAATTCATACGTGTTGGTTGGCTGGAAGGTTTGCACTTTGTATCCGTATTTATTTGCTGTTTTGTTCAGCCAACGGCAAGCTCCCCAACGATGAATATGGAATGGTTCAGGTATCCTACAGTAGTTTTCACTCGTTTCAAATAGTCCTAGAGGGTCTCGTTGCACGACACCTTCCTCGTTAAAGAGAAAACCGTGGCAAAATCCTCTTTCACTTATTAGTTAACACACTAAGCGTACATTTTCACTAAATTATATCAATTGCTCGCTCTGTAGTTTTCTATAGACTAGCCAATTTCCTCTTTCTCCATTCGTTTTAATACTGATTTTTTCTAATTCCCTACTTCTCTCTTTCTACTTTTATGTTCCTGGATGATTACCATTTTACAATCTACGACCTACTCTAGTCACACTAGGAAAACTTTATGACCCACACCTGGCCTAATACTACGGATAACGTTTCCCCGCAAAACTAAATATTTCATCGCGTTACTACTTATAGTAAGCGCTAAAACTACAACTAACCGGCTAACTCCCTCAACAACAGATATACTTATTTATTCTTTGGTATTTATTGATTCTGAGCTTGCAATACCTAATTGTTCCGACGAATCTTCCTTTAGTTCTTCATTCAGGGTTGATTCTAATAGAGTTGGCAACATGTTTTCATAGTCATGAACATTCTTAGGAGGTATACGGTGCATCTCGTAAAATGGTGGCCCTGTAAAATCGTATCTACCGGCATCTAATCTCGACATTAGTATATATGTTTCGCTTACTGTAATGCCTCTAAATGCCTCTTGCATAGCGATATACAATTAACATAATTAGAGAGCTTATGATTAAACATAAAATTGCTATGCTGATACAAATAAAGTTCCAAGTTGGCAAGTCGACTATTTTTTATTCTGCTTTTGTTGTTAGGGTACTGATCGGTTTTATCTCAATTTTAGTTGTACTCTCTAACCGCTGGTCTATATTTAAAAGGTTAATCGAAAAGGCGGAATAATTAGATTTTTTATTACTTTATTGCCGGTCGCACCTCTATAAAATTTTCCGTCGGCCCATATGTTACATGACCTTGGGAGTTCAATTATGCCAGAGGAAAGCTTCGGAATAGATATTAATTTGTTTGTGCATTTAATTTTTAGTGAATCATATTCTCTCGTGGAAAATAACCAGAAATGTCTGCTAGCAGTTTTGATCAGAAAATAATTTTCATCTTGACTCTGTTTAACATTACATTTATATAAAGTTTTGATTTTTGGCTTTATTAGCATGTTGAACTCACAAGATGCTTTAGTATTTTCTATTAATTCGAAACTACATATTCTATAATATTTTACCATGTTACATGATTCAAAGGCCATTTCACTCATAATGAAATGTGAGATATTAGTTTCTGATATAACAGTGTAATCGTTCTGTAGTTCAATGTATGCAGCAATTGACTTATTTGTCTCAGATTGTTGAAATACTGGAAAAGACATCATTTTGTCCACAACAAACTGTTCCACATCTATGAAAGGTACGAGTAGTATTATTCCTACTATTAGCACTTTTTCATACATCATAAAATGTAACTGTGCTATGTCGGCAATATTTGCTGTATTAATACTATTTGATTTAACAATGGATTTTAAAAGTGATGTCTTTTCAATTTCATGTACTACTGCTTGTAACGTGTGCATAGTTAATAAATATTTATTATATTTAAACATTTCAACTATTAATAACATAATTTTTTTAACTTCATGTTGTATTTCTTTGAGATGTAAAATTGCTTTGTGGAAATTAGCGGCATGATTTTTGTTGGTTATGTTCGGGTTCTGTTTTAACAGTTGCACACATCTTTTTAGATAGTCAGTTTTCAAGTTTACTGATTTAATTTGTTCATTCAGGCCATTGTCAAAGTGTTCGATTCATCACCCATAACATAAGATAGATCGTTTATACGCATGTTAATTACTCTTTCTATAATTTTTTTAGCGTTACTCAATGCGTAACTAATTGAAAAGATAAAGCTTTTCCTCCTCCCTTAATTTTGTCAGAATGCAACGTGTTGAATAGACGATTCAGGGAATCGTTAACACGTTTAATATCTCTCAAATGATCCTTAAGGACGTTTCCCTGCCTTAACCAAAGTATAACAGAACTTCACGAAACTTTTTAGTATGATACTTTAGAGTATTCCGAACCCACACGCGTTTTTTGGAGATACGTTATAATCCAAAAACTAGAGAAATTTAATAATTATGATGAGCATTTTAACACGTGGTCTTATGAAAGCGCGATTGAAATGGCCAATAAATCTTGCCAGAAATAACACAGGCGAACAAATTTTTGATGACTAATAAGAAAAACATATTATTATTAAACACTCAAACTCAAAGTTTCAAACCATCTTATAACAGTTATTATTACGAAATTAATATAAATAACAAGAAAATAGTACATTTGAGATAAACTTGGCAACGCCGCATCGTGCAGTTCTATGAGAGACGCCGCGCGTGCGCATACGATAGTCGGCGGTAAATTTTAAATACATCGGAATAATAGATCGATTGATATTTTACATCGGTATATCAATATTGCATAGAAAGAAATATGGTTTTGTTTATTTATTAGCTAGAAAATAAAATTGTCATAATCTTTCAAGTAATAATACTTTGTAATAAACAAAATTTTTATTCGTAGAACTACAAAACAGTACGTTTCATTTATATAAATATTAAAAATGTTTTCAACGCTTAATTTATCGCTATAAATAATATTAATAAAGGATAGTATGAAATTATGAATCACTGGAAGTTCATAAATTTTCCCAATAGCTACTCTTTCGTGACGAACTTCAAATGTTCAATAATGGCATTTAAATTTTTGGTTGTTTTTATCACTGTTGGTGACCCATTCACGTTACCTTGTAACAACTGCTTAGCCTGATCTTCTCCGTTGATAAATGCATCAATTAAATCATAGTAGGTAAAATTTTGTTCGGATAATCTTTGCATCATTGTTTTGGAAATAGCGCCGTCCAAAGGTAGGAAGGTGTGTATATTAATTTTACTGCGTTGCTTTTTGTCAATAGCGGCACAAATGTCATCAAATGTTGCATTTGTTGCCAGTAAATCATTCAATTGTAGAAATGCTTTTGCCAGCTTTTCTAATACTTCTACGTCAAATTGCGCATCATGAGCTTCGGAGCAAGAAATATTCAATTTACACGCCGCTAAAGTTGTAAGCTTATAATTTTCAACGTCAACAATTGTTTTCGTGAACAGTGGCAGCGCATCAGTGAAACCTACAACTACTTTTTTGAAGTCACAGAGAAAATCACAACTTTTTATCAAAAGAATAAATCGTTTCGAATCAAATTCGCAATTATGCGCAACTAAGATACATTTTTTACCTATAGCTTTTAAGAACTGTAATACTTCAGATACAACAACTGCTTTCGCGCGTGTTACTACTTGCTCGCCATTTTTATACAAATTTTTATTAATTCGAGTCAGGTTGTGTACTTCGGAAGCTCTCGGATTAATTGCACGCGTTGGTGTAAGGTAACAGACATAAGACTTGTCACCACACTTTAATGAGATTTGTAATACTTCGTCCTTAAACATATCAAACCCACCCGTCTCTAAGTCAAAAAAAACAATGGCCGTATCATTCGAGTGAAATATTGCTGAACTATTCACATCTTTGGCTTCTGGATTACTAGTGTCTTCTGCAACCGAAGTTTGCGTAATCGAATAATCATCGTTATCGAAAAGGGACATATGGCTACTGTATGCAAGCCCTTCGCTCTTTTCTTTGCGATATTTTAATTGAGACCGCGCCTGCGCGAGCTCAATACGCCTTCTCTTGAAACTAACTTCTTTTTCTCTTAACTTGCGTTTTGAAGCGCATTGATTTGTACGTTGGATACGATTAGCAAGTCGCTCTGTTGATTCCATACCTAAAGCATGAAAAATACTGCTGATATATGCTTCTCCGTAATTCTTGTGTAGGACTGTACAGGCAAATCTATAATCGGAAGCCTCAGATGTACTATAGCAAATTCTTTTCGGAGCAGAACTAGCCATTGAATTGTTCAGGCTCTCATTAGCTTGCGACGATGCTGCCATTAAAAACTTCGTAGCATTCGCAGCAAGTTTGTCAAATAAAATTACCAGTTCATCAAACAATACTTGACTTTTTAACTGCAGTCCGACGTAATTTTCTTTATTTTCATTTGCTTTACACCACGATCCACACTTATCATGAAGATTATAAGCATGATATGGTATATTAGTTATAGCATCTTTCATTTCTTGAAGATTTCCAACATTTTTTTTGACTGCGTAACTAAAATATTTTTTTAAAGTTTTTATTGTGTCGTGTTGCAATTCACGATCAGGATCTTTATTTGTTTTCGAACTGATGTTGTAAAGGGCATTACTGACACCTTTTGCTGTGTGATTCATATCGGATTGCTTAATTATCACATAATTAGAGGCATTTTGCACTGCATTTATTCTGCTGCTGTCATTGTCGGCAATGAAAACGCCAATTTCAACATTTGATTCTTTTAGGATTTTACTTTCAGTAACAAGTTTTAAAGCACCTTCGGCTTCCATGCCTTTGGCGCTGCCATGAAAATTAAGGCGACAATCATGATCTTTTTCAATATTATTTTTTTTATTTTCATCGCACTGTCGACATTTCCTATTGAAAGTAACGTAATCCAAAACCATGCCCGTTTGCAGTCCAATAAGACAACCGTATCCATTAAGGCTATCATAATTGTATCCATTGGAACGCTGACTCCACCCAAAATCGAAAGAAGCAAACAGTCTTACTCGTTAAATCTCTTGGCCATTCACAAATGTAGAATACGATAGGTAATCATCTGCAGTCCCAGGAGGCCTATATTTAATAAGAAATAACATGACCTATGTTTTTCCATGATACGACCATTAGGAATTTTATAAACAAAAAATATTCAGGAATAATGTAGTATGGTTTATTTTTGACATTTTTAACAGCTTACGTATTATTTATTGTAAAAATATAATTGTAAATATTATTAAGTTAGATTGCTAACAAAAGTAATTTCGTACAATGTAAAAATCAAATTATATGCATGATTATATGTATAAATAAAAAGTAATCTTAACTTATGCATGTTATTGCTAATATACACTTATATACCGAAATTATTGTTTATCTTAGGCTATAATTATTTTTTCCTTGGCAATATGTCTCCATTGCCAATTATTTGTCAACATCGAAATTCTAGCATGATTGTATATATGTATATAAATTTTAAATTACTTTATCACTAACTTCTAAAAAAATCAAAATATGCGCCTATTATACAGCGAATTCAATCGAAGGATATTTAACATTATCATTCACTATAGGCAACTTACAACATTTTCTTCAAAGAATCTAACTTTTCTACTGTGAGTGCTCGTTCAAATTCCACTGCATGAATGCAACTTGTTTTTGCTGTTTCTTCAATTATTGGGCCGACAAATCTTTCCTGATTTTTATAGTTGCTTTTTGATAAAATTGGAATCTCAAATGTGCTCAGAAAACTGTCTGCTTGAGTGTGCCCTATTCCTGCACGTATAGCTCCTGTCAATAATAATATTATCATAAGAAACCTAATAAAAATATACGATTGCCATATAAATGATTAAATAATTATTTTACCTATGGCCAATTTTTGATTGATTTCAAAAACCTTTTGCCCAGTACCGCCAGGCATAACGTTTACAGGGCTACTTGATACGACTTGAATACTCTCACAAGCAGTGCATTTCATTTTATAATACGACCCCATTCCTTGTATTGTTTCATTGATAACATCGTTAAAATGTAGTCTTTCTTTGCATTTCTTGCAGTGCATTTCCTTGGCCATGTGCTCTACGTTTATAACACGCGATCCTTCGACAGGGTGTTTAGAGGTTATATCGCTCGAGTCTTTTTCGCACGGCTCTTCTGCTGGAAGAACGCATCTTCCTTTATTGCTTTTCCCATTTTCAGATCTTCGTAGCATATGTTCATAAACACTTTTCTTCACATATCTACCTTTCCAGTGATACCTTGCCGGAGGCATTGCACTTTATTTGTCACTAAACAAAACTCGCCTCTTTCAGTCTACCTAGCAGCATGTAAGTATATCACGCATAGCAGTACACATATATAAGTATCTCATGCGCGACGTTGCCAAGTTTCAACTCAACGTCGATAATCAAGACAACTACTATGGAATGGTTAAGGCAGGGAAACGTCCTTAATATGCTGTATAATCGAACTTGCTTCTATATAGGACACATTATCTTGGACGAAAATGCTATTTAAACTAGTTACTTGATTAGTAAGCACATCGTTCCAAATGAAAATGTGTTGCAGGTCAATGGTTATTAGTAAACTCCAATTTTCACGAGTAAAGGCTATACGTTCAATTTTATGAAACGCAATCCCTGGATTGTCTTCAATCAGATGTACGACGGGGTTTTCTTCTCGACCCCTGACTGCCATAAATCCGACAAGAAAATACAGGCAAATTGCTGCTTTTTTCATCTTGATTTTTTTTTTATGTGTGTTCTACAAACTGTAATTCGATATAGATTACAATTATTATTTAATAAATTATATTATTAATACAAGATTATAGGACCATTAATGTCAAATACACTATTGTTAATCCATGCTTGGCTTAGATCGTGTATTATCGTTATTACAAATTTTCTTAAATAATACTCTTTTACAAATTTTACCTAATGAATCAAATACATTATGTAATTGAAAAAAAGATCTTTGAATGTTTTGATATTGATTAATTGTTAAATCTGTTGTGCAACAAAACACACTGTTGGTAATTGTTCTCTTTCATAGTGTCTGTTACTTCGTCTAACTGTAACTGAGCCAAATGGCCTGCAATCTTGTATGATTTTAATAAGTTTATGGCTCCTTTTCCAAATTTATGAGTTGATTCGTTATTCCTTTGGACCATACATATTAATTTTGCTTTTATACAAATTAAATTTTCTAATACTTCGATTTTTTCTGAATCATTCATGATGACAAATCTAATTTTAATATCAATTTTTTTTTATTTACTCGTCGCTATCTGAACGAGCTCGTTTTTTCCTTGGAGAAATTGATCCAATGCAAGGCTCTTGTAACACAGGATAGAGTCTAGTATCTATTAATCTGTTTTCTATTTGCTGTGTGTTGGGTTTAAAAGTACACTCGATTACTTTCGCTTTCAATGCTGATGCGTCCGGGGAACTTGGAGCAAATGGGGAATTTGGAGGGGCGTTTGTATAACTCTTGTTGGCCACTGATCCCCGCTCGATATTATTTTGATTCTTATCTCGTTTTCGTTCTTCCGTAGGAGTCCTAGCTAAATGGACAAGTAAATTTGTAAGTCAATTCCACTGCACCTATTATTTTGATAGACCATCCGAAAAGCGAATAGAGTGCGTATCCATGAATGATTGTATCGAGTATAAATTTTATCACACAAAAAAGCATAATTACGGAAATAATGCTTGCGCTTACCGAAACAAAACTCATAAATCTTTCCCATAATTTCGACCATGTGGATTCAGCTAATTTCTCTAGCAGTTTTTCGTCAAGCATATGATAAAATGATAATTCTGTCCATTCAATGATACACTTTTTGCTAGTTTATTCAAAATCGCGGCTTGTTCGTTTGGAAACATGATATAGCTTTTTAATTTTTCAATATCTGACAAACTATAAATTCCACTGTTAGTTATGTCGATGGGTACTAGATATTTCCACGTTTGTTTTGTTTGAGGCTTTAAAACTCCTGATCCGTCGCTAAAATAGGTCGGTCGTGGTAACATTTTAAACCATCCACTTCCCACCTTAAACATTACTAGTACTGTCTCATCACAGGCTATTTCTGTACCGAAAAATTTTAATATGTGCGTACGCAGTGTCATAAACATAGGTCTTCCGTCGCGCTCTACAGGTAGTTCTAGATAGCACTCTGAAGAGTTCCTTGTGCGCACGTCTACCGGTAAGCACTTAATTATGGAATGACCTCGTCTGCGAGTAGGCTCATATAGCCTGGTCCGTTCATCAAATAATAGGCCAATAAATCCGGACTAATTGTGGCGATATTTAGTGCATTCATTATAACGTTCTTTTCTAACTCACACTATTGAAATAACACGTCATAATATAATTTCTGTCAGCTTTTTCTTATGTGTTTTTCAAAGAAAAGTATCTTTGCATTAAAATATGCAAATAAGTCGATGTTTTTGATATTTTTATCTTTTATCACCGGAAAGGTATGTTTATTTTTATCGTCAAGGATAAAAATTCTCGGATGTTTCGTTCTGGTTAAGACACCCTTTCTGGTTAACAAACCCGCATTTAGGTAATGCTTCTAGATCTTTAAATGCGAAGGACACTCCTCGTGTATCTAACACGTATAGTGGTCGCCTTTCGCTACCCTGTTCCATAACTTTTTCTTCTTATCCGGTGTAAAGTTCTGTGAACTTGTTTTCTTGACACTCGTGCATGGGAATTGGTTCCCAAAAAGCATAACTTAGAACGTTATGGACGCATTTATCGTCACTGAATTTGCAAACCGTACCTGTTGATAACGTGATTTTATTGTTACGTCGAGACGAGTCAGACTATTTTATGGCGGTAAAATTTGAATTTTTTTTATGGAAGGGGAGTTCCCGTAATTAAAAGCAATAGTCATTTAATAGCTGACTTTAATCTCAGTGACGCACTTACCCCTCCTGGGATTAACCCTTTATCGATTAGTTTTTATGTATTTTGTGCTATAAAAGAGAACGCAAAACAATTGTAACAGACACTCTGTATTCTACTCTGTGACACTATGCTCCTTTTGTAATTAGATCAATAAATATTATAAATCTATTTCTATAATAACTTATTTGAGAGTTATACCTAATCCACTTTCATCTCTGGATTCTGAGGTACGAGTTTCTGGACCAGTTAAACTGCAGGTAAATTATTTAATTATTATTTATTCACTTGGTACTTTAGATACGTTGCCGCCCTGCTTTCGTTTGAGTCTCGCACCCGTGGTAAAGCGCTTACACGTTGACCGAAAAGAGACAGTTGCGTTTAAGTAATTCTTGTCAATTCGCGACAGTTACGTGAGACGTAACATTATTATTGTCTAACGATATCGTTTCTCAATGTTCCTGCAACGAAATTTCAAGACAACCTGTGACAAAAACGTCTTGAAATTCGCCATATGGGTCATTATAGTAGCCTGCGTTACTGCATCCACCTGTGCTACCGGCTGATCCTGCGAAAGTTGTAGCGTGTACTACTGAATTATTCACTAGTAAGGATTGAAAGAGGCGATCTCCTATAGATATTGGATCTGTGTACATGCATTCTTTCTTGATGTCTCGCATAAAAATTTTATTCTTCTTAATTCAACTTCCATATTATGATTATTATAGCCGCATCTTTTAGCGTCCCTATCTATTTCTATTTTACAATAGCGCACTTGCACCGACGAATATTCAGTGGGTTGCAATAATGCTACTTTGATCCGCGTAGAATTGACGATTGGTGGTGGCAATTTGCCTTCTGCAATAAATACCAACAGAAAAAGTTACGAAATAATATTTGCGAACTTCTGCGCGCAATCATAAGTAATGTAGGCCGTCGCCTTGGTAACAAGTTCCAAGAGCAGTAGGCAAATTAGAAGACTCAT